GAACGTGTGTCAGCGGTTCTGACTCGACTGAGCTTAGTCTTATACTTTAATGCACATCAGTTCATACGCGCTCGTACTTGTGCATACATTCGCTCTGTTACAAGGAATCCAAGCTTTGCATTATAATGTGAACAAACTATAGGGTTGCAGCAGAGGGATGATGTAGGCAGATGGTGAGGGAGGAGAAAAAACAATCTGAAAATTAAGAATGGGTTGAGGATTTGCCAAAGCTTGAAATTACACCTTGTAAATTCATTATAGTTGTCGCTTTATGAGAACAATATAAAAACTTACTTGATTCTGTGATGTGCAGTCAGAAAAAAAACTGCCGTTGCCCTTTACACTGTGGTACAGTGAGGCAAGCCAGTTAGTATTTTAATCCTGGTAATGTAGGTTTTGCCATACGGTAATATTATTATGTATGTCCTGGAGTCATTAAAGTTTTTCTGTATGTAAAACAAAGTATAAATTAATATCGAGTAATAATAACACATGCGAGTCAAAAAAAAAAAAAAAAAAAAAAAAAACAATTGAGCAGCATAATCAAGAACTAAGAGTTGGCGCTGACCAAAGATGCATTTTCGTTGAATTTTATACTTCCTAAGGAAAAGAGATGTATGTTGAAGTTGACCATTGTTACTTAAAGTTTATTTCTATAAATATCTACATATATCTATGCCCAATTTTGGACATGACCAAAAATAAGGGCTGTATCGAAGAGTTAACTCTTTCCTAGTCTCCATTTTCTATGATTTCATGCCTATCCTTTCTGGGAAATGAGAGGCAAGTCGAATTCAGTTTTTATTCACTTTGTTTTGATATAGGAAGTATTTCGATTTTTTCACAATGCTTGTCTTAAAATCATGCTATTACATTTGAAAAATAAAAAAATTAGTATTCACCATTTCGTCATTTTCTGACTTAAAAGATGTCACTGTATGGCAAATAGGCGGTCATGTGTTTATTTCCATGTTTATTTCTATGCAACCCTCTCAGACGTATATTGAAGTTCAACTTTTAGCAGGAATGTCTTTATAATGATATATATTTGTTACATTTATTTCAATAATTTGCATACCCTCCCCCTGCCGCTACCCATTACGACGCGAACTCTAGGGCTGGATTTCTCCAGAAATTCATCTGCTAAACTGAAACAAAATACGACCAGGCTTTTTTTTTTTTATCTTTTTATGATTACAGATGGTTTGATGCAAATAAACAATATCTGAAGCAATAATTAAATATTTTTCCTTGTTCAGTTAAATCAAACAAAAATTCCTTATACCATATTGGCATAAACTGATAAAATGTGGCTGACCGAATGTCATCACAGCGGAAATTTCATTCGATGTCACTTAAGCTGGGTCTACTAGCTGGGCATCACCAAAGGCAGAGACACAGTCCCACAGAGTGACTGGAAATGTTCAGCCCTGCAACACACTCACTGTGAATAGTTGAATACTTATTAGATAGATCAAGTTTATAGGTTCAGTGTCGCATTTTCTTGTTACACATCTGGCACATTGTCTATAAGGAGATGCTGGTGCATTTTCTGTTGTTTAATGTTACACTATTGGCTTAGTAATGTATTTATTGTGTATAGTTACATATTCTCTTGTTGCACAAGCACACCCGGATTTGTGGATTCATGTATGCGAACAGGTGATGTCATGTTGGCCACTTGGTGTGTTTACTTTTATTTTTACTCCCATGCTGACGCCCTCTGATAAGCCCTTGAACATCCTCTAAAACACTCCACGTCCATGAGAATGGATAGTGAGTTTTGGGCCCACCCACAGCCGAGTGGATGTTATCAGCCGCTACAGCTACACTACCACACTTGTCGACAGGGCCCACAGCCCATCCAAAGCCCTCAGTGCTGCCTCAGTTGACCCAGTATGTGCCACGCTTTCAACATTCTACAGCGGTATCACAACCCCCTGCCCATCTACACATGGTACTTCCAGTCGTAGCTGTACACCAATATCCTACTCCCAGTCAGTGCCAGCTCAACCGTGTGATTACGCCTGTTCTTGTTCTACAATGGCCAGCAGAAGCGATGAGGTACCTGACTTTTGCGGTGAGATGCCTGCCATTCAGTGGAGTCAGGAGCTGGAGTCCTGGATTTCCGGCATTGAGCTTGCAACCAGACCTGCTTGGACAGGGTGACTTTCAAAGTTCAGTTCCAGGACCACGGTTCAGCATTTTTATGAAATGCTTGGCCAAGTAAGGATGGCACCAGGAACTGTTAGTACACCAGGAACTGGACTTCTTTCTTAAGGTGGAATTAGCATTGCAGCAAGGTGTGTGAGACTATCCTCATGACATCGGGAATGCTGAGGGTTTGATACAGCACATCTACCGGGAGGGACTACCTAGTTGACTTTATAGTTAGCTACTCTGGCATGATCTCTGTGCGCAAGATGGTTGAGAAGTGCCAGGCTAT